CTCTTCCTCCTAGCTGGAGCTCTGGTCACATTTGTTGTGGTAGCTGGTATTTCCATAAATAAAAAGTAATCAAAATCAGAGCCACCATTTACAGGATAGGGAAAACTTACTCCTTGCAGCTTTATTCTTGAAAAAAATCTGGGAATTCTAACTTATTTAATTTCCTACTAAATTTACTATTGAATTAGCTTCAACAATATAGAAAGCTATATCAGACTAATTAGTCAAATACACTGAACAACAAAGATTTTGCTTCCTGAACATTTGGAGTATATATCATAGATTTGGGGATGCTAATCATGAAAATAATTTGTAATTTAACCTACTGTGTACCATTTTATAGAAATCTTCTATTTTTGCAATTTCAAAATTTCTCTACTTGTTGGCTATGCTGTATACATGAAATAAACATATGAAAACGTGGTACTGTGCTTGATGCACATTCAGTACACCAAGTACAATTGGAATATCTAGAGATCTAAAAGTAATGGCTCTTCTGCTTGGAATGCAGCTTGGATATATAAATACATATTCAAATAGGACAGATGTGCAAGAGACTATTAACATCAATATTAACATCAATATCAACATTAAAAAGAAGTGGCCACTCCAAAAGAATTTGGTTCCCGCATAGAAAAATGTGGCACTTGTTGACCTGACAAAGATATTTTTGCCTCTGCTTTACATAAAACTCAGATTGATGAAAAATTTTGTGAAAGCAATGAATAAGGAAGCTGAAGTTTTCGTTATTTGAGAAAGTTTTTCCAAGAATAATTAATTTCAAGGTGAAGGAAGGCATTTTTGTTGGTCCAAGGATCAGATATGCCATCAGTGACACGCAATTTTAAGATCTGTTAGTGGAGCTAGAGGAAATTTCCTGGAAGGCATTCAAAGATGTTATTTAAATTTTTTTGGGCAACTACAGAGCACCAAACCACATTCAGTTGGTTGACAAATCTTACAGCATATAAGATCATGAAGTACAACATGTCACTGAAGATACATTTTCTGCATTCAGGCTTGGACTTCTTTCCCCAAAATCTATGTGTAATCAGTGATGAACATGGTGAAAGGTTTCACCAAGACATTGTCACAATGGAAAAACTATATTAGGGCAACTAGATTCCATCTATGATGGCTGATTATTGTTGGACACTGCAGCGAGATGCATCAGATGTTTCATAAAGCAGGCAGAAAAGTCCCATCTCCTGGGTCCCTCAAATAACCTCATGCCATAAAGTGCTTTAAAGATGATAGAACATAGAATACCGTATATGCCAGCATTCAAGGCGACCCGGCGTATAAGACGACCCCCGTCTTTATCGCCAAGCCGCATTCCTAGAACGTCGTCTTATACGCCGGAAACTACTAGTATCTCCGGCGTATAAGACGACTTGGCGTATAAGACGACCCCCGTCTTTGGCGCCGATTTTAGTGCTCGCGGAAGTCGCCTTATATGCCGGCATATACAGTAATAAGGTTGGAAGGAACCTTGGAGATCTTCTAGTGCAGTGATGGCAAACATTTTAGAGACTGAGTGCCCAAACTGCAACCCAAAACCCACTTATGCATCATCAAATGCTGGGTGGGTGGCCCATTAGGTGGGTGTTGTCCATTGGGTGGGCGTGGTTGCGATGGTAACGGCAATCAATTCCAACTTTGTAAGATCTTTTTTTTCCCGCAAGAAGTTGAAATTGACTGATTGAATCTTTTTTTTTTTTTTTTGCACACGGCGGCGGAGGCCTAAAGCGAAAAGGTTTTATAAAACCCAGCTGAAGGCCTAGGACTGGGGCAATGGTGTACGTGCCCACAGAGAGGGCTCCGAGTGCCACCTCTGGCACCCATGCCGTAGGTTCGCCACCACTACTGCGCCTGCTTCACCAGTGTCTCGCTGTTGAGCGACCAAGCCAGTCTACTTGTTGGCTGCACACCCAGAAATTTGATGTGCTAACCATCTCCACAGATGAATCATTAATACACAGAGGAGTGTGGCTATGCCTGCCTTTTCTGAAATCGAAAATGATCTCTTTGGTTTTCTCAATGTTTAAAACTAGGTTGTTTTTATTACACCAGTTCACCAAACCTTCTACCTCCTTGCAGTAAACATCCTCATTTTCATCTTGAATAAGGCCCACTTGTTCAACAGGGTGAACAACAGCAGACTTAGAACGCACCCCTGAGGAGAATCAAGAAAATGGTGTTAGAAATATTAGTCCCAACTTGCATATACTGGGGCCTGTCAATAAGAAAATCAAGAATCCAGTTGCACAAAGGAATATTAAAGCCTTAAAGGCCCAGTTTGTCTACTACATGCTGAGGAATGATAGTATTAAATGCTGAACTGGTCGGATTAGAGAAAGAAAAAGTGACAGCAGCAAGTCCTTACAGAAAGCAGTCACTACTGTGTTTTTGCAGGTTGTCTTATTTGGATCAGGCAGGGTTGGTGGTAGAGACCCAATAGATTGATCATTCTCACATTCTTTCTAATATTAGAGTGACCATATTAACCTGGAAAAAATAAAGGATAAACCTGAAAAGAAGGCAAATCTGAGAGGTTCCCAAGGATAAAAATGTGTTTATAATTTTCATTTACAAAGGAAAATTCAAGAGCAAAACCAAGAAAAGAAATAAATCTAGAAGACTATATGTCCCATGATAAAAGGACATATCATAACCATAGGTATATGTGAGAGTTGGAGTTTGTATCCTTGGAACAGAACACTATTATGTAAAAATGGGCCTGCTCTAAATAGATAACTACTATAGTGAGAAACAGCTGTCTAGCACAAAAATAGCAGGAGAAAAGAAGCTTAGGGTTTAACCTTTGGAGCAGCACTTACATATACATAGAAGGAAATAATATTGCAGAAACTGTTCTTTATCTTCAACTAAGATTGAGGATATCTGCAATAAAGAATCTGATCTACTTGCCAAATCTCTTTGTCTCTATAGCCATTCAGATTTTTTTCTCAAATCTTATTTACTGTATTACAATATGATTTTCTAATTACAGTTTAAATATTTTAGATTAGATTATACAGTCATGTGAAAAAGAAAGTACACCCTCTTTTATTCTATGATTATACTAAAAATCATCTGATCCCTAGCATTTCTTTAAAAGTAGGCAAATATAACCTTAGATGAACAACACATGACATATTATGCCATGTTGTCATTTATTTTACAAAAAGAAAGCCAAGATGGAAAAGCAATGTGTGAAAAACTAAATACATCTTAACGATTCAATAGCTTGTAGAGCCATACTTAGCAGTATTAACTTGAAGTAATTGCTTTGTGTATGACTTTATCAGTCTCTCACATCAATGTGGATGAATTTTGGTCCAGTCTTTACAACTATAGCTTCAGTTCATTGAGGTTTGTGGACATTTGTTTATGCACAGCTCCCTTGAGGTCCCAGCACAGTATTTCACTCGGGTTGAGGTCTGGACTTTGATTGGGCCATTGCAACACCTTGATTCTTTTCTTTTTCAGCCATTCTATTGTAGATTTGCTGGTATACTTGGGATCATTGTCCTGTTGCATAACTCAATGTCCGTCAAGCTTTAACTGTCAGACAGATGGCCTCACATTTGACTCTAGAATACTTTGGTATACAGAGGATTTCATGCTCAATTTAATGACTGCAAGGTACCCAGGTCCTATGGCTGCAAAAGAAGCCCAAATCATCACCCCTCCACTACCATGCTTGTCAATTGGTATGAGATGTTCATGCTGATATGCTGTATTTGCTTTCGCCAAATGTGGCACTATGCATTATGGCCAAACATCTCCACTTTGATCTTGCTTGTCCAAAGGACTGTGTTCGAGACATCTTGTGATTTGTTCAAATGCAATTTTGCAAACCTAAACTGTGCTGCCACATTCTTTTTAAAGAGAAGAAGTCTTCTTCTGGCAACCCTTGTTCAGTATTTCTCTAATTATACTGTCATTAACATTAACATTTAACATGCTAACTGAGGTCTCTAGAATCTGAGATGCAATTCTTGAACTTTTTGCAATTTTTCTGAGCATCGCATAGTCTGATCTTGGGGTGAATTTGCTGGTACATCCATTCCTGGGAAAATTGGCAACTATCTTGAATGTTTTCCTCTTGTGAATAATCATCCTCACTGTAGAATGATGGACTTTAAATTGTTTGGAAATGGCCTTATAACCCTTCCCAGATTGATGAGTAGCAATACTTGCTTCCCTAAGATCATTGCTGATGTCTTTCCTCTTTGGCATTTGTTAATACACACCTTAGTGCTGGAGATCAATGAACACCTAAAACTTCGGCTTGTTGGTGATCAGTTGATCAAGGGCACTTGATTAGGAGTGCCTGGCTGCTGGTTAGCCTCTTCATACCTATGGATGCAGTTAAGATGTATGGCTTCTCCGTTTGATGACATGGTGTAATACCCCATGTGTTGTTTTTACCTGAAGTTGTATTTATCTACTTTTAAGAACTGCTAAGGACCAGATGATTTTTACTATGTCCTGCTACATAAAACTATAGAACTCAAAGAGGGTGTACTTTCATTTTCACATGACTGTATATGTGTGGTTTCCCTAATTCTCGAAAATTGTCCTTATGTTTGTGTACATATTGTACATTTATTCATAGCAGGAAAGAGCACAAATGTAACATGGCAGTTAAATGCTCTTAGTATCATCAGGTATCATTAAATTGCTTCTCTTAGCCTATGTTTTGTTCCATATATTTTGGGCATTCAGCTTTAGTAAAAATCATGTCAAGCTTCTCCTTTGTAACTTCTTTAAAAAAATGAAACTCAGAGCAACAAAAGGCTTGATCAATACATTAATACTTAACATCTGTGTTGTAAACAGTGCTTAATGTGCATGCAGTGTAGTTCCAACATTATGTAAATTATAAATTAAGTTCCCTAAATGTTTTAGGATTTATTGTTTGCTGCTCTGTAAATTTTCCTTTGTGAAATTCAAATAAATTGACAGTACTTATTTATTTCATTTTTTTTCAGAAACCCTAAAGCAGTTAGTCAAAGAATAAATAAGAAGGTCAACAATGATGGATCACTTCGAATTCAAAATTTGTCTATTTTAATAAGACAAATTAAATCATATTATCAGGTATGTGATTTATTTCCTTTTAAACATGTTTAAATTTATGTGCCACTTACCTGTCCTAGAAGAAGGACAATTGGCAATTCAAAGAAACATTGATTATATTGATTATAACACTGAATTCATTTTTGAAAATTTCAGTGGTAGAGGGCTAATTAAATAATCATTAAGAACTAGAGATTTTTTTTCCCCTTCTCTCTCAACTCCTTTTTTTCTGTTACCTGTTTTAGATTGTACGCCTAAGAGCAAGGTTATATTTTTATTGCTTTTTACTCAGGCCCATGTTGAATTTCTGTATGAACTGAAGAGTGGCATCAAATAGATTTTTTTTATTATTTAATCCATTTTTTTAAATTTATATGATCATGTGATTCAAAATGGCTTACAAGAAATTTAGAAACAAATATAAAAACACCAAACAAAATATGTACTAATTATGACTAACTTTCATCTCTATGAAACATATTTCAAACCTGGACTTTGTATCTTGGCCCAGTACCATCATAAACAGCCATGCCTTCAGTGCCTATATTATATCATCTGTAGCTGCCACACATAATTGAGTGTGTATTCAAATCTTAAAATATAACAACAGAATAGTAATAAAGGAGAATATTTGTTGCTCAATGTTGACATGAGGGATCCTTGGTGCTCTCTGAGCTTGCTTGAATATTTTGTAATACAGGCATTATAGTGTTTACAGTACCTATACATATACTAAAATAGTACCAATTCTCTTGTAGCCCTCCAGTACAGTACATAGCGGTGGACATATGGCAGTCGTTAAGCCATCACTATAGCTTTTAAATGAACCCATTGTTTGCTATGGGCTGGGTTTTGTTGGAAACTGGAAGTAAACATGGGTTTCTGGCAAAAGTATTGTAAATTACAGTCACATGACTGCAAAGCACTGCAACGGCTGTAAATGTGGACTGGTTGCCAAGTGCCCAATTAGATGCAGTCACATGACTGTGGAGGAACTGAAGTTGGAATTTAAAAATCAGGTTGCAAGTAGCTGTTTGAGGGGTCCATCAGAACTTTGAATGGTTACTAAGTGACTGGTCATAAATTGAGAACTACCCATATTGTCTCACAGATTTGTATATTCGTGACTATTTTTATCATAGTTATCCAGATGTTGAGAGAATGCATGCCAACTTTAAAGAATTGGGTAATCTCTAAACTTTTTTTTCCTGATCAGAACTATTAGTGTCTAGCAGTGGTATAATTTATTAGAGTAAACTTCAGGAAACAATTTGCAGAATAGATTGTTGCCTTTTTAAAGGAGATTTGGCAGTTCTCAAAAATGCTTCCATCTAAATTGCAATCCATTTTTATTCAGTTTCAGTCCTGAATATCTTAGTACAACATTATCTTTGCATATCAGCTTCACAAGTTTTTACATTCTAATAGATTTAAGTCAATGTAGGAAATTATTTTACAATCATGGTAAAATGGTTTAAAAATATAAGATGTAGTTCTCTTTGTTAGGAAAATGAAATTGATAAAATGCCTTGTTATAGTTATTGTGGACAGCCAGTGTTCCTAACATACATAACAAGTTTAATTAGTTTTTTTTTTCTTAAGGTAAGAAATTTCACAATATTGAAGAAAATTAGTATGCTTGCCACATAACCATCTAATTTAATGCATCTTAGGAATCTACATATACCGGTAGGAGAAAAACTTAAATCACCTATATACCCTGAAGTCTCAGGCTATATATCAGTGATGGCAAATCTTTTAGAGACTGAATGCCCAAACTGCAACCCAAAACCCACTTATGTATTGTCGGGTGCCAGGTGGGCGTGGCCCATTGGGTGGGCGAGGCTGTGGTTGTAACAGCAGACTGGATGGGACTAAAAGGTTCAATCAATCAATTTCAACTTTGCAAAATCTTTTTTTTCCTGTGAGAAGTTGAAATTGATTGATTGAGCCTTTTTTTTTATTGAAAATTTTTAAAAGTTTTACAAATATACAACCAAAAAAAAAATCAACCCTCACCCCATCCCTCCCAAGCCCACCCCTCCCTCCCCCCTCCCTGAACTTCCCAGAACTGAATATAGGCTTATCTAAAATTTTAAAATATCTAAACAAATTTTACATCTTATAATAATAAAATATATATAAACATTAATAATAAAAAAATACTTTAAAAAAAGAAAGAAAGGAAAGAGAGAGAGAAAGAGAAAAAAAATAAAAAGAAAAAAGAAAAAACAAGAGGCGGAAAAAGAAAAGAAAAAACAATCTATACAAGTTATAAGAAAGCTAAATGATATTTTTCCATATCCAAATTATATTGTATAAAATTTATCCATTTTTCCCATACAACAAAAAATTTCTCTTGAGATTGCTCCTTTAAGAAAGCTGAAATCTTTGCCATTTCCGCCAAATAAGAAACTTTATAAAACCACTCTTGCAAAGTAGGCAAAGAATCCTTCTTCCAATATTGTCCAACTAACAGCCTAGCGGCTGTGATCAAATTTAGCATCAGTATAACTTCCTTAGCATCACAGTCAGTAATAATACCTAATAAAAATAATTGCGGGGTAAATTTTATCCTCCTTCTAAAAATTCTTTGAATATTCCACCATATCTTAATCCAAAAGGCTTTTATATTTTTACACGACCACCAAATATGAAAATAAGTAGCATCCAAACAACCACATCTCCAACATTTAGGCTATAGATCAGGGTACATAATGGACATTTTCTTTGGATCAAGGTGCCATCTATAAAACATTTTATAAAAATTCTCTCTTAAGTTCTGTGCTTGTGTGAATTTAACATTCCTCACCCAAATAAATTCCCAAGTGTCCAGTGAAATTGATTCACCGATATTTTGTGCCCATTTAATCATACAATCTTTAATTAATTCAGATTCTGAATCCATTTCCACTAAAACCCCATAAACCCTCTTAATATGGGTTGGTCTTTGATCCCTTACTTGTTTGATGAGATTTTCATCTTCTCTAAGCCATCCCATATTACAATCCGTCTTCCATCTATCCACTATTTGTCTATATTAAAACCATGAATAAGTAAAATTTTCATGTGTTAAATCTTCCAAAGATTTTAACTGCCAATTTTGACCATCCCATCTAAGTAATTGTATATAAGAAACCGTATCCATCTTGACTCCTTTCTTTATTCCCTCTATCGCATGCCAAGGTATGGCCCATAACGGTATTTTAAAATCACTTCTATAATATTTCCTCCACACCCTAAGCAAAGAAATTCTTATAATATGAGATTTAAAAACCCGGTCCATTTTTTTATTAAAAATTAAATAGGCATGCCATCCAAAAAGTAAATCCCAGCCTTCCAAATGGAGTATTTCTACATTTGTTAAATTCACCCAATCACTAATCAATGTTAGTACCACCGCATCATAATACAATTTCAAATTTGGTACCTTGAGTCCACCTCTCTCACGGAAATCTTGCATAATTTTAAGTTTGACCCTTGGTTTCTTCCCTGCCCAAATAAATTTGTTAATACCTTTCTGCCATTCATTTAAGTTAAGTTCATTCTTTAAAATAGGTAACATTTGAAACAAAAAAAGAAACTTTGGCAGAACATTCATTTTAATAACTGCAATTCTACCCATAAGAGATAACTGTAAATTGTTCCAATTCATTAAATCCTTCTGTACCCCAATCCACAACTTTTCATAATTATTTTTATACAGTTTTGCATTAGAAGCAGATAGTGTAACCCCCAAATATTTTACCTTGTCAACAACTTCAAAATCTGTTAGATTGACCAAAGTCTGTTTATCACAATTAGTCATATTTTTTGGTAATATTTTGGTCTTATTATTATTAATTTTAAAACCCGAGACACACCCATATTGCTGAATCAGTTGTAATAATTTAACTACCGAATGAGTAGGTTGATACAAAGTAACAACCAAGTCATCTGCAAAAGCTCTTAACTTATATTCTTTTTTATTAATTTCTATTCCTTTTATTTCTTGAGACTCCCGAATTTTAATCAACAAAATTTCCAATGTTAAGACAAACAATAACGGAGATAGTGGACATCCCTGTCTTGTACCTTTTTCTATTGTGAAAACCTCTGATAAACCCCCATTTACGATAAGTTGAGCAGTCTGTTTTTGATATATATTAGATAAAACATGTAATATATTTTGTCCAAAATTCATCTCCTTAATTAAACATAACATAAACTGCCAATTCAACTGGTCAAAGGCTTTTTCAGCATCCAAAAATATCAGCCCTGCAGGGACTTGGTTGTTTTTATCTAAATATTCTAATAAATTAATAATTTGTCTAACATTATTTTTCATATACCTTCCAGTTATAAAACCCGATTGGTCCTTATGTATAAGCTGCTGCCAAACCCCCATGAACCTATTGGCTATAATTTTTGCAAAAATTTTATAATCCACATTTAAAAGAGATATAGGCCTATAGTTCTTAGGCAAGGTGAGATCTTGGTCCTCTTTTGGAATCAAAGATATAAAAGCATTATGCCATGACGGAGGGATCTCTAAGCCCTGTAATATATTATTAAAAAGCTCACATAACGGCTGGGTCATCTCTTCTACTAAAGTTTTATAATAAATAGACGTCCAACCATCCGTACCCGGCGCCTTACCTGCTTAATAGCTATCACAACTTCCTCATTGGTAATTAAACCATTAATCTCTTTTTTCTGATCTTCTGTTAATTTAGGAAAATTAGCTTTACTTAAGTAATTGTTTATATCTGTAGTTTGTACATTAGTACTCTTATATAATTTTTGATAATAATCTAAAAAAGATTTCTTTATCAATTCTTTCTGATAAACCAATTTACCATTATGATTTATTTTGTCTATAATTCTCTGTCTCTGTTTCTTTCTTAACTGATAAGCCAACCATCTCCCTGGTTTGTTAGCATTACAAAATGTATTTTGTTTCATGAACAATAAGTTGGTTGCAGCTTGATCAGCCATCAACATATTAAATTGTGTTTTTAACAATTCTATAGCTCCTTTAACCTTTTCATCTGAAGGATTTGAAATTAAAAGTTTCTCTTTTAATTTAATCTCATCTTCTAATTCTTTACGTTTCTGAGTCTGCTTCTGTCTATGAAAATTGTTCATATTTATCAAAATCCCACGCATAAAGGTTTTACTTGCATCCCATGCCATTGACATTGATGTTCCCTTATTCATATTTAAAACAAAATATTCCTTTAAACATTCCTTTAGTTTTGGAACATTTTTTTCTTGTTTAAATAAATTCTCATTCAACCTCCAGGATCTCCTCTCTTCTTTCTCAGCGACCAATTCCATCCAGACTGGACTATGATCTGTCAATGTCCTAGGAAAGATTTTAATATTCTTCACTCTATTATATAAATCTGTTGTAATCAAAAAAAAGTCAATCCTTGAAAAGGATTTATGTCTATCTGAAAAGAAGGTAAAATCTCTTTCCTCTTGATTACATTCGCGCCAGTAGTCTCTCAGTTCCCAATCTTCTTTCAATTCAAAAAAGGCTTTAGGTAGTTTAGCCTGTTTAAAAAAAATAGAAGAACCTTTTTTGTCCTTTTGTGTATCTAAAACACCATTCCAGTCTCCCATTAATATCACGGACCTATAGTCCAACAGAGTTATTTTCTAATGTAACAACTTATAAAATTGTTCCTGTTGCTGGTTTGGTGCATACAATCCCACAATAAGTATTTTCTTACCATATAAACCAAGTTCAACCATAACATATCTTCCTTGGGGATCTGATTCTACCAAACAAGCTGGTAAATTTTGCTTAACATAAATTACCACACCCCCTTTTTTCCCAGGGGCAGGAGATATAAAATGAGATCCCAAACGAAGGTTAGCTAAGTATTTTTGATCTTTAAGTAAAATATGAGTTTCCTGCAAACAAATAATGTCATTGTTGTGTTGCTTTAAATAATGAAAAATTTTCTTCCTCTTCTGGGGAATGTTTAAACCGTTAACATTCCAGGTCAGGAATTTTGCCATCTCCCTCAACCAGGAGCCTGGAGAAGATTCCCTCAAGATCTGCTACTGAAGAATGTGTTGCAGAACTTTTGGGTCTTGCTCCTCCCACCGGCATTGAAACAATCTGATGAGCAGATTCTTTAGCTTCTTTCTTTTGTTGCTCCTTTTCCTTACGTTTATATGCTGCACGGGTCATTCTCTGTTCTTTAACCTTTGCTTGACGCAGCCATTCCACCTACCCAGCAGCCATCAAGCCTAATCCCTCAGACTGCTGTTCCTCCTCTTTATCACTCAAGACTTTCTGAATAGATGAAGATGAGCCTGCACCCAGGACCGTATTATAAAATTCTTTAGCTTTAGCAACTGTATTAAGTCTATAACGTGTCCCCGCATGGCTCAAAACAATACCCATCGGAATCTCCCATCTAAATGAAATCAATCTTGCTTTGAGTTCATTTGCTAAAAAAGCAAAATCTTTTCTGCTTCTTAAAATTTTGGATGGGATTTCCTTTAAAATAATAATATCTTGAGCAGCAATCTGGAATCTTTTGTTATAAAAAGCTTGTAAAATCTGATTACGCAGAGACTTCTTAGCAAAGTAGATCACCACATCTCTAGGCAAATTCTTCTGTTTCGCAATCCAAGAATTAACTCTATAGATTTTTTCCACTTCTCCACGTAATTCATCTTTGTCTATATTCAGAACAACAGCCAAATCATTAATCACCATTTCCATCAGATCTTGATTCTTATCTTCTTTAAGGCCTCTGATTCTCAAAGCATGTTCCATCTGTCTGTACTGAAACATAAGGATATCATCTTGTGAGGTTTCCACTTTTTTTTTCCATATCTTGAAATTTATAATCCAAAAATTCTACTTTTTCTTCAACTTCTTCCACTCTGGAGTCCAGCTTCACAACCACAGAAGCCAATCCAGATAAAGCTGAGACTATGTCTTCCCTCAAAATAGTATTATTCTGTACAAAAAGCTCCTTCATTTCCTTCTTCAATTCTTCGTTAGTTTCAGATTTACTCTGTTCCAGAAGTTGCTTCACTTCCTCCCTAAATTGAGACACAGCCTTTCCCATTATATCCTTTAAATCTTGTGCAGATGTACCTGATGGGGGAGGAGAAGGTGGAGATATAGCCTTGGGTTGTTGCACCGGTGGTGTTATTTTAAGTTGTTGTTGAACAGTTGCAGTAACAGGAGAAGAAATCACCTTAGAGACTATAGAAGCTGGTTGTCTCTTTGAAGCCATTTTAAACTATCTTTCTTTCTTCTTAAAAAAGGAAAAAAAGTACTTAAATCCTTACAAATAAAAAAACCAGGAAAAATACAATAAAAATAAAAACTCCCAAGGCAGTTTAAAAGAAGAAAAAAGGCTTAAAAAAAAAAAACAATGTTAAGCATACAGTTCAATCAGTCCGTCTTTTCTTTCCGGAGATAGGAAAAAAAAAAACTTTCAAAACACCATTTTACTTTCACTCTCACTTTCCGCCCAAAGAAAAGAAAGTGGAAAAAAAAATCAGCTTATACTAAAAAGAAAAAATTAAAGAAAATAAATAAATAAATCTCTAACTCTAAGTAAAATCCTTTAAACAGTTCTGTCCGCTTTAAAAGTCACTCACCAAGCAGCTTTGAGTGCGGAGATGATAGCGGCGTTTCGCTTTGCTTCCAAAGAAGCAAAGACAGCTGAGAGGCGGAGAAGGCAATGAACTCCGAGGGAGCACTCTTTCTACCCCCCTAAAAAAAAAATCCAGGGAAGGTTAAGAGGTTCTACCTCTATTCATGCAGTCTCTACCCCTTCCCTTCGCCCGGGAAGGGGATTTCGAACCGCTAGCCAGCTGATGAACGCTGTGCTCCGCGGATCTGACACCGTCTCAGAAGGACGGCTACTAAGTAGCCGCCATCATCGCCACTTTAACCACCGGAAGTCCCCCCCCTTTTTTTTTTTGCACACGGCAGCGGAGGCCTAAAGCAAAAAGGTTTTATAAAACCCAGCTGAAGGCCTAGGGTGACGGCCCGCGTGCCCACAGAGAGGACTCTGCGTGCCACCTGTGGCACACGTGCCATAGGTTCACCACCACGGCTATATATGGCCTTAATACACTGCAATTAATTTATTTAATTTTATTTGAATTTAAATAAAATTAGATGTGGATATCTGGGTATTTATCATTCTCTCAAAGAATTATTTAATATCAATCTGTTTCAATTAAGTTACAAATATTAATACATGAGTACCTGTTAATAAAAAGGTATGTCTAGTGGTAGAAAAAATGACAATTACAAATTGTTTTCACTTCATTCCCAGTATCATTGCTCTGTACAAATAAAAAAAAAATATTTCTTAAGTCTTTAAAGAGGAACTTTTTTCTAATATTGCTCATTTAAGCTTCTGACATAGGTTGTTTTGAATATGTATGTTCCATAACATTAACTTTCCTTAACATTCCTTAATAAGATTTTCTTGTTTAACATTAATTTTCTATGAAGCATAAACAGTAATATGATTATAAAAGTGTCCAAAACAAGAAATAAATAAAAGAATATCAATTTATAAGAAAAATATTTGCAGATATTCTGTACGAAAGAAATGGATAAGCAAAATAATCTAGGAATTTCATCTTTTACAAAAAGTGAAACCTCTAATATTGATACATTTAAATACCATGAAGTAAACTTATGATTTCTTGGAGTTCATACAATATTACGCTTATAAATAAGGGATAATTTTACTCTTTATTTTAATATAGCCAGTTAAGGTCAGATGTTGCCAGAAACCTACAGAAAGTTCAGCCTCTATATAAGTTTTATAAAAGCTATAAAAGTTACAAAAATTAAATTTGCTTCCACAGGAGACATTGCAGCAATTGATCATGATGCCTTTGCCAAATGTTTTAATAATTGGAAAAAATCCCTTTTCAGGTAAGCATTGCATCTGGTTTAAAATAGGCATACTGTAATAAATAATTGTTATTTTGTTGAAGTTGGCAAGGAAATAAATAATATTCTCAGGTTAGGGAGGAATATTATGTAAATAGATCTTTTTTGGTTTTTATCACCTTTAAAATAATAGCCAACTATGTTTTGATTCAGAAAAACTGGAAAAACTTTGAATATAAATCCTGTAGCGTATACCTACAGTATATATAGGGTTCTATTGCTGTGCTTTGGAGAAGATGTGCTTTATTATTATTTGTAATAAATTTGGAATGTTATATCTGTGATCTTACGATGTAAGCAGGTTTCCGAATATGGAATTAAATACATTCAAGATTTATTTCTGTGCCTCGCCTGAATTTGGCAATCACAAATATTTATTAATAATATTGTATAATACTGTCAAATGTTTATATGATTTTACATGCATTATGTGTTTGTATCAGTAATCTGTGCTTAATGACCATTTGTTCAGCAACTATTTAAAAGTATGATGGTGCTGAACAAAAGGATTTACGTCCCATACCCAAACTTAGGGCTGTTGCAGCACTCCCGTGGTGAAGGGATTGCGATCTAGGTACATGACAACCTGTTCACACTTAAGACAGGTTGCTAAGTGTCCCACAATCATGTGATTACCATATGCACTCTTCCCTGATGGCTTCCCTAGAACGGAGAAGCTGGCAGGGAATGTCACAAGCTGCTACCTCATGCTGAAAAGACTTCCTCTGGTTCTTGGGAACTGGCTGAAAAAGGGCCATTATGAAATCCAAGCAGGAAATTCTGTTTCAATTTTTGGAGGGACTTTTACACCAATAGCCTCCTTGAGAGGAAAAGCACTGCTTAGCAGAGAGACTCCGCCCCACATGGGGCGAAATTAATCCATCAGACAGTGCTTTTGCTCTCAACGAGGCTGGGTGAAAAGGGTTCCCCAAAAAAGTCTCTCACAAAACATTTCTCTTGTATTACAATTTGGAACTGAATTTGGGTAAGAATTGACTATTGACTATTCATGGATTACAAAATAGCATGCAGAACAATTCTAGAAATAATACTTTGATTATTTATTGTAAGTAGTAAATTAATATAGCATAGTAAATCTAGAAAACTGGAATATATATTTTTATATAGTCCTCAATTTATAACAGTTCATTTAGTGACCCTTTGAAGTTACAATGGCACCAAAAAGAGTAACTTATGACTGTTTTTCATATTTACGACCATTGGAGTATCCCCATGGTCATAATGATCCAAATTCAGAGGCTTGCCAACTGACTCATATTTATGACAGTTGCGGTATCCCAGGTCATGTGATCACCTTTTGTGACCTTCTGACAAGTAATGTCGATGGGGAAGCAGATTCACTTAACAACCATATTATTAACTTAACAACTGCAAGTGATTCAGTTAATTGTGGCAAGAATGGTCATAAAATGGGGTAAAATTCACTTAACAACTGTCTTGCTTAACAACAGAAATTTGGGCTCTTGTGATTGTAAGTTGAGGAGCCACCTGTATTCTGTCATTAACTATGGATGTAGAGTTAAAGAATTTTTTTAAGACTAAATAAAGAATTATATTGTTAAAAGCTATATATAGCCCTTAGTTATATAGCTCTGAGAAAGCAGCTCTGTGTTGTTCACCAGTGCTTACCCCAAAACATATAGTAATGGAAAGGTAAACAGAATTGTTCAATATTACTGAAAATGTAAACCAATATATTATTTTAAAATATTTTTAAAAATATTTTCAGAACAAGGCACTGAAGAAGTAAAAAAACTCCTTCTACTTCTGCTTGGCTGTGCTGTTCAGGTAAGATCTACTAATTTTTTGAACTACTTATAATGTTTATTTGAATGGCACTTATAATGTTATCTTCCTAGTCTTATATAATTAAACATCGCTAACAATTTTTTTCTGCTAGGATTATTGATTATTGATCATGGTTTTAATCTAGCAGACAATCATGATGGCTGGTGCTTATTGGGAGTAGGAAAGCAATAATTGGAAGCATTTTTTAGTTGTTCTTTTATTAAGGCCTGGTTGTCCAAACTTTTGAATTGTTTGGACTACACTGAGTGAAGAGGAATTGCCATGAGCTGCGTATAAAATATATAGTTGATGTAAATAAATAATAAGCTTCCTTTATTTTTTATTATCTTGTGGGGTCATGGGTTGGACATCCCTGCTTTAAGGGAATACACTATATTCTTAACTGAATGTCAGGCTTAAAGGAGTTTAAAAAGTACAATGTATGATCAGGGATAAACAAATCACAAATCTTCCTGTAAGTATGTACTTCTATTAGGTATTTCAGGTTTACTACAAATAGTAAGAAAAAGCTGAAGGATGTTATTTTATTTTGTTTAACTATTTAAGAGTAAATACTAATTAAAATTTATGTTTAGTGCCAGAAGAAAGAAGAATTCATTGAAAGAATACAGAGTTTAGATTTTGATGTAAGAGCAGCTGTTGCCGCCCACATACAAGAGGTAATATCTTGTTTATTATTACAAAATCCCAATTTATTAAAAATATTTTAAAAGCAGTCAAATGTCTTGATAATAATTTATTTTGCAGAATGTTTATTGTATTTGAAAATATATATATAGGCACTTTCTTATTAAATATAAAAGAAGATCAGCCATTTTTTTTCATAGGATTTATGAGCTTATGCCAGGAGCCAAGGATATATGAAGCCATGGAGAAACCACTGAAAAGTTGTAGAAATATGTAGAAACTGTAGAAATATGCATTAAGCTCAGGGACTTGGAAAAGTTTTAGAAAGAGATCAAACTGGCTTGCCTCTGACTTCCACAGGTATAAATGGAAGAGAGGGGAAATCATAGGCAGATTTACAAGATTCTGTTACTTTGGCCTATCTCAATAAAGTATAGTTATAGCCACCTTCTGGAGCTCCTGCCTCATATGCTGATGCATTATTAGAACAATCCATCTCCTGGATCTGATTGTTTACTGATATTTTTGTGGAATTCTTCTGTTGATTTGGAGGTCAGTTGATTTATGGAAATCACAGATTACGTAGCAATAAAACTATCTTAGAAAGACAAATTGATTCTTTCTAGGGAATTAAATGTAGGAAATTGTACATTACTCAGGTTTTTAGTATGAAACCCACCAGTTTTTCTTGGTTTGCGTGTATCTTGAAATATTAAATATGTTAGATCATGTCTGAGAAGTTGGAGTTAATTATAATGAGGTATTGAGTAAAACTGCTTCAGTGTTATTTGATAAGAAGGTATCACCAGGAATAATCTTGTTTGTGTATTGTTAAACTGGAACTAGAAAGAATTATGGTTAGAGGCTTAAGTGACAGAATTAACAGGGGTCAGTTTAACTGAGGAAAGATGAAAGAAGTTAGATAAGTTTTCACCTGGAGAAAAGATTGAGAGAGTTGAATTAACTATGTTATTTATTAAAAAATTCTGTGAACAAGGATATTATATGAAATTCTTTCTTAAAAGGGATAAATGTAAACAAAGCATATCTGCTTTGGCCATTATAAAATCTCATTCAAAACTAATAAAAATTCAGTTTCTATGGTAACTTAACTCTGATTTCATAAGAATAAGCAATTGTATAATTAAAATTAAATTCCATTGAATTCAAAAGGATAGCTATTCTATAAGGCAACAAATCAATTTAGGAATTACTTTTTTATGGCCAGAAATACGGCCCTGTTTGAAATTTAGTTAGTTAGGATCAAAACTATCTTTAACAAGATAAGCCTATATAATTCTATTATATAATTTAGAAAACACATTAAAAGAAGAAAGATTGAAAGGATTAGGCAATGTGACATCCCTTACAATCTCTAAGAAAAAAAGAGACAATTTGATCTAGTGGTTAAGACACCAGGCTAGAAACCAGCAGGCTAAGTTCTAGTCATATCTGAGGCATGAAAACTGGCCTGGTGACTTTGAGCCTCTCTCTCTCAGCCAACCAACTTCACAGGGTTGCTGTGTTGGGAAAAATAGGATTCACCACTTTAAGCTACTTATAAAAAACAATAAAGCCAGGATAAAAATAAATAAATAGATTAATGATGAATGTGCTAGTTGTGGCTACATGGAAGATCAGAAAATGAAGTGCAGAGACAACACTTTATTTCTTCTCTGGTTGATGGTAGATTGTGTGTTCATTAGATTAAACAACAATATTTTTATCCCTTATTGGGATATGTCCTTTCTGTTCAGGCACAGAGGTAAGGAAGATAACACACCAGGAATGAGCTCTTTTAAGAAAATAAAAATGTATATATTTTAGATAGTTGTCTTTTAAAATACTAAAAATGCGAATCCTGGGCATTATGCTAACAGATAAAAGAAAAAACGAACACCAGGATATAATAAACCAGCCTGTTTAATATAAACAAGCCTGGGGTTAAAAAGAGTTACTAAGCTTTCATCCGGCCAAAAAATGCCGGCATCATCAGAGTTAGAATAGCAGGAGATTGGGAAGGCAGCTCATATAGCTTCCTGCCTCTGCACCCGGCTCCTTGAGCACTTCATCAACGGGCCGATGACGCGTTCAAGGAGCTGGGTGCAGAGGCAGGAGGCTATATGAACTGCCTTCCCAATTTCCTGCTATTCTAACTCTGATGACGCTGGCAGTTTTTTGGCTGATGAAAGCTTAGTAACTCTTTTTACCACGGGCTTGTTTATATTAAACAGTCTGGTTTATTATATCCTGGTGTTCGTTTTTTCTTTTATCTGTTAGCATTTTAGATAGTATATTAAATATTCAGCATATTCCAAAGACATAAAGCAGTTTATAATAATTGAGTAGATTAATTATTAAAAAGAATTAATTACCCAGTGGTTACTGTTTGCATTGTAATTCTACAGGATTAAGATATGATTTCAAATGTATAGGCTGTTTTTCCCTGGCAATGTGAGTTGGCAGAGAAATTAGAAAAATCACTAGTAGATGAGAATTAATTTCTAATTAGAGAAAAGGCAAGGAAAAAATACAGTTTTAGAAAGATAAGAGAAATGATAACCCCTCAAAGTTGAATTTTTCTAAGAATATAGCGTATTTCAGAATATTTCTAAAAATAGATTAAAATGTACATAATTTGTTCATTAAAACAAGCTTGAACTCCAATTTTTTTCACATTTAGTTACACTTAATTAGTACAAATTTAGCAATCTAATTATTTAAATACAGTAGTTTTACATCATTGTTATTTATTCTTTGTAGGTAACCCATAATCAGGAAAATGTGTTCGATCTCCAGTGGATGGATGACAGTGCTCTAACACAAGATTATATTGAACCTCTCCTAAAAAACATGGCATTGCATTTAAAACGACTTATAGATGAGCGAGATGAACATTCTGAGGTATTAACAGCATTTTTTAATTTTATTATTTAGGATTTTGTAGAAGAAGTAAAATAACTAGGTAACAATTTGCAAAATCTGAATGGTTCTACTTTTATATACTTACCTGAAAATATTTTTTATGTCATAGACTATCATAGAGCTTTCTGAAGAACGAGACTCTCTTCATTTTCTACCTCATGCATCAGCAGCACAATCACCTTGTGGATCTCCAGGAATGAAATGCACTGAAAGCAGGCAACACTTATCAGTGGAATTAGCAGATGCCAAAGCAAAGATTAGAAGGCTTAGACAAGAGCTGTAAGTACATAATAAACAATAATTATAAAAATTGATAAATATCAGGATTCTCCAAGGGCAGTTGCCCTCCTGCAAGAAAGCATTTGTTCCTTGGGCCTAGCAAGTAGGTTTTATCCAGCTTGGATTGGCAGGAATTATTTATTAATTTATTATTAAAGTTTTACACTGCCCTTATTTTGTAATAGCTAAATATTTCTAGGATCTTAACAAAACCATCAAGCTGCAGATGAAAAATTTCCTTTAGAAACAGAATTAGTATGCTTGGCTTTTTGCACCTTCTACTCTTGTAATAATTATGATATAAAATTTAGTCTGAAATAAGATTTAAGTTATTAGGAAGTGATTACAGGTAGTCCTCGATTTACAACCACAATTGAGCTTAGAATAGATCATTGCAATCATAACTCCAGCTTGATTTTACCACTGCTTTTAGAATGGTCTGTGGTTATAAGTCAGAATTCTGTTTATCCAGTGGGTGTTTTTTGTTGGAAAATGGCAAAAAAGGTGCAAAATGTGATCACATTCATCGTAGGTCATTGCAACCAGTTGGTTGCCAAGTGCCCAAGATGAAATCACATGACTGTGGTGCTGATGTAATTTAAGACATGAAAAAGTAACTTTTTTTGATCCTGTCATAGCTTTGAAGAGTCATTAAGGATCAACATAAGTTGTGGGCTATCTATAAAACTATAGTTGACAGGAGTACATTCATTGCCTTAAGCTTTTTAAAAACAACAACAACATAGGGGTTATTATTAAATGTTACCAAACTGAAGACATCTTAAATGCATGTTTTGTAAATAATTTGTTCATAATCTTACTCATGTATAATTTTTCCACATACCTGCCAATTTTAATTGGAAGCACATTAGCTGAACATTTTTTAAAAAACTTAAAATTTAAGTATTCTGTGGATTGAATAAAATTAAGAATAAAAGTGATGAAATGATATGGAAATGAGGCTGAAAGAAGATAATGCAGAAGGATTATTTTAATATTTGTATGGAAAAGATAGTTTTGTGTTAAGGAGTGAAATTAAACAATTGCTACAAATATTAGGGTCCAAGAAAAGGAAAAGCATTTATTGTGAGAATGTTAAAAAATAGTAAGGCTATGGGTATTGAAGATGTCACTGGAGAAAGGTTAAAATATGGATGTTGTTTGCTTATGAAGTAATTCTGTGTTTTTTAAACATGTCTTCTGTGCTAAACAAGTAGAAGATACATTATTCTTTATCAAGATAACTTGCAAATAAATAATATAAAATATAGCTAATGAGAGGTAATAAGAACAGAAATATCAGCTACAAAAATTTATGGCTGGAATTAAGAGAGCAACTGTGTAGAAATAACGTATAAATGTAGGAATAAGAAATAAAATAATAGAAATAGATATAGAACCTAGCTCTAATGAGGATTAGAAAAGCCATACAACATTAGTAAAATAAATCCTTTTTTCTAAAATAAAATTTCCCACAAAAGGAATAAAATTGTTTGTCTGTGGTCTGTGTCATCTAATAAAAATATATATGACAAGAAGGGTGTGTGATATCTTTTTTGATATGCCTATGTTAGAGATGTGTGGCTGGGAATATGAATATGTGTGTATTTTTATATGCAGTTGATGCTGTGCTATTTGCTGAGATCCCAGATGATTTGCAGTGAACAATAAATGTATGGCACAGTTTGGAATGTTGACTTGAAAATTAGTATATTGAATACCTGGTCAGATTTGATATGGAAAATGAAGCGGACAATTCTCAATTGTACATAAATGGTTAAAAAACTAGAACACATAATTGAATTAATGCACTTTGTGTGGGCTCTTTTGCTAGTTAGTAACTGTTTTAGATTAAGCAAATGCCTATAAGCAAGAAGAGGCCTACCACCAAGTATGTGTATGTTTGTTGTAAAATACATATGTGCACACTGCCTTTTAGAGATTTTGGATTTCTTATGGATTACTGTATAAGCATGCATTTAATCTCAAAAGATTAAAATAGTTTAGAAGTAAATTTGAGGAACAGATTTTAAAAGCATTTGTATTATAAATGTAAAGTAAAAATATCTATAATTTACCTGTTCTTCTACCTATAACTGAGCATCTATACAACTATACACTTTTAGTACTTTCTGTTTGTCTGCTTCTTAGGTGGTACTCCTGGTGTGGGTATAGGCAAAAAACTATGTAGGTTCTCACCAGAAAACTCAAGATTTAGAATATTTAGAATATTTCAGAAAGCTAAACTTTACAAGAGGAGATTACTCTTTAATATCAAATGTTGTTAAAATAGTCCTGTATTTTGCCAATGGAATTATTTACAAATGCAGGCCAGCTAACGGAAAATGTTGCAGCCCCTATTGGGGATACCTACTCAGTCTTCTACATCGCTCTGTATAGATTTTTTTTTCTTTTTACAACCCTGTAATACCTTTTATCAGGGTGGAGTTGGGGCAACTGAATGGAGCTAAGCATTTACTGATGTTATGCGGAGTTTGCAGCAGATATTTTCTCTAGAGAAATGTTTGTCGCTGCCTAGAATTGAACTCTCACCCTGCTGAATGGGAGGCGAGCTTCTTCACCTCTAGGCCACTGCGCCACTCAATGGCTTTGTATACATGTAACAATATATTTGTATACTATCACAGCACAGTACTTTTAAAAAAATAATAATTTGGGAAAAATAGATATATAGTATATAACTTGATAGGAAGGTATTTATTTTATCAAATTTAGAAGTAAATTTGAGGGAACAGATTTTAAGAGCATTTGTATTATAAACGTAAAGTAAAAATATCTATAATTTACCTGTTCTTCTATCTATAACTGAGCATCTGTACAACTATACACTTTTAGTTGTGCTACAATTATATAACTTCTGACTTTCTTTTCCCATGAGTTCCATGTGTTACAGACATGTTTGCCATTAATAGTGGGAGAGTGTGCCTTTTGTACCAGTGTCTAAGGTTACTCAGTGATTATAAATGGTGCTAATGTTCATATGAGTAAAATTCCTGAAGATTCTGCAATTCACAGAAATACTTGTTTGTACAAACAAGAAATACTTGTTTGTACAATAACTTTTTAAATATAATCAATGACTATAAGTTTCACGATGATCAAAGTTGTGTCCTAATTTTGATTTGATAATGGAATATATATTGAAGTTTCTAAATTAATTATACAGTGATGTGAAATTGGAGTTTAACATACAAGTTTCAGAATCATTGTTAAATTCAGTCTAGCAATAAAATGAGTTTAAGATTGCTACCTGTTCTCTGCCTGAAGGGTCTGTTTCTAATCCTTAGCTTCAGTTGTGCATGTGAAATGCTTTAAGCATTAGATAAATGCTGCAACGTTTATGGCTAATTAAGCCAATATGGTGCTTGCTGAATGAATAATACAGCAGGGGTGAAAAGTCTTAATGTATGCTTGTCCTCTAATACTATGGTCAAATTTTCTATATTTGTTCTGGACACATAGTAATTTATGGTAATATGGTTTTTCCATCTAATTCCTTGTCAAAATTTGATGCTAAGAAAACATTTCTAGATCCCTTGAAATTGCAAAGCTCTTCCTTAGGTACATTTTATCATTTCACTTTTGAAATTTTGTCATGTTTTATTATTAGAATTGTATTGTACTGCAGAATGGTAGGCTGGGCTTCAAATATTGTTCTGAGAGAGAGAGAGGAGCATGAAATGGGAACATTTCTATGTAGAACCAGAACCTCTATCCTTTACCCTCCTACACAGCATACAGACAAAGACCAATAGACTATTACGAGAGAGTTTTAACTGGATCATCTAAAAGGGGCAAAGTATAATATTATGTCTATTTAATTACTTTTTTATTTGAGCAGAACATAAAAGTTTTAAAAATTAGTCATGTTGAGCACAAAAATACAAAAAAAGAGATACCATTTTTGATGACTCAGATATTGGGTGTCTATTGAAATGAGCCTAGCCAAGATATTCTATAAACAGCTGCACTAGGGAAGTTAATGCAAATTGCTGTTATTAATTTGACTGACATGTAATAGCTTAAATAGTGAACATTGGTGTAGAGTGTATAATTAAAAACAATCCCATTACACTGAACTGAGTAGCTCATTGGAAGTGTATATATTTCTCAGAATATTTTTACATTTTACCAATATGTTTTACTTATTTACAAATAACATTTTTTTCTATAAAACGCTAATATTTTTAATGATTATCAGTACCATCTGATGTGCTGGTATGCTAAAGTAATTCCCATTAGTTCTGTACACTTTAAATAACATTGTACGTAAATTGGATACAAAGCATGGTGGTTGAGTAGATATTTATGAGAAGCTGTGGTTTGACATAAGAACTATCATTATTTAAAACAGGCCCTACATTGAAAAGTTCATTAACTCCAGCTTTGATATTATGTATAAAATACATGCTGTGCAATTAATGTATACATATAATATAGTTGAATATTTTTATATTTGGAACTTATATTTTTCTAATTTGAAAATGAAACAAACATTTTTGACTGAACATTTCTATGATTTCCAATTTAAATAGGATGTTTAATAATAATCAGACGTCTTGGTTTATATGAAAGAAATTTATTTATTTATTTATTTATGAGACTTATATACCGCTTTAAGTGCAAGCACTCTCTAAGCGGTGTACACCAGTAAGCAATGTATATATATATTTACATTGCCCCCAACAATCTGGGTCCTCATTTTACCTACCCCGGAAGGATGGAAGGCTGAGTCAACCTTGAGCCGGTGAGATTTGAACCGCTGACCTGCTGAACACAGTCAGCTAAAGTGGCCTGCAGTACTGCACTCTAACTGCTGCGCCACCTCGGCTCAGCAGTTAGAATATGTTTCGCAATATATTCCAGTCATATTATACAACATTTATCTGTTGTATTTAGGTACTATTCAATATTTAATCTCCTTGCTGACAGATTAAACTCACACAGAAAATAAAAATAGAAGATTTCTTCTGTCTTTC